GGCCGCGTCCCGGCGGGTTTCAGCGCGCGAAGGCTTTGCGTTTGCTGCTGGCGTCGTGCAGGGGTCTCATTGCTACCGTCATTCCGCCAACCTGATAAAACTACTAGTCCGGGGCAAGTTCTTAATCTAATTAAATATCTTAAAGTATCTTTTAAAATACCTTCAGCCTCAAGGGTCGGAAGAGGCCAAAGCGTTTGTAAATGCCTTCCTGAAGCGTAGTATGCCAAAAATGAAAGATGAAGCTATCCAGGATATACTGACTCGGAAAGCTGTAGTTCTTGAGCATTATTCAAAAAAAAAGACAAAGCGAAAGAGGAAGAAAACAAAAGGTTTTACTGCCAAGCAAAGGCGAGAAATGCATCTTTTTGAAATTGAACCCGAACAGCAAAGGTAAGACCTTAAGTATTTTCTTTGTGTAGTGGAAGTGGGAAGTACATCAAAAGTATGTAAAAGCAGGAGCACGTACATGTGGACACTAACCCTTCAGTACGCACAGTCGGTCTAAGACTCTCTTTGCGGCATTTCACCATAAGAAAACAATTCTTTTGTCTGTATAGTTGGAAAATTCATTTCTGTTCGTTACCGATTCTCTTTCCTTTTGTATAGCTAAATATAAGAAGAAATTAAACCCAAATACAAACATCTCTGATTTCAGTTTTTAAAGTTAGACTGCCTGTGACCAGGGCCAAGATTCTGCATCAGGTTCCTCAAACTAACGCATGTTGAATAAAGCCCCTGCTGCTGCTAACATGAAGTGGGGAGGTGCAGGCGTAGAAGTCTCTTCAGTCTTAGATGTAGCCACGCTCTCTAAAACACACCACCCTTTTGGGTTGATAGAGAGGGGCATATTTAGTTTGTGCTTTTTTTTTTTATAAAAGCAAGCCTGTTGCTCGGAGTGGCTTATGAGAGCAGATTACAAAATTGTAAATGTTAGTCTTAACTCCATTGTAAATATGGATTACTTCTGTAATCAAGCAATAGATTTTTTGATAATTAAGTTCTCGCATAATACTTCTTGTCTTTTTAACTACAGATACACAATCTTTCTACCACTACATGAACTCTGGAAACAGTATATCAGAGACCTCTGTCACGGACTTAAGCCAGATGCGTAAGTTGAGATATTTTAAAATTAGTGTGGTTTTGATTTAGTAGATATTTCCAGGTTTACTAAGTTACTGCTTCAAACATCGTAGTTACTCGACAAGGATATGTACTATTTCTGTAAGCTTCGGCCACGATTTCAATAGTCATGGTCATGTTTTGTAAACCTAACTTTCCCTATAATTTTCTTTCCCTCTTCTCTGATCCCACCCTCTTCCTCAAGGCAACCACATATGGTTCAGGGCAAACTGCTAAAAGCTGATCTCCATGGAGCTATTGTTACAGGTATTCTGTTTGTTTTCTTTTACAAAATCATCTGAAGTTCAGTAGACGCTCCTATATTTCAGGTGCTTATTTTTAAATGCCTTTTAGTGTCGTTAAGTCTAGAACCACATAGTTGAGATCATATGCTAATGGATTCTTTCTGCTAATTACTTTTCAACTGTTCTTGAAAATCCTGGTGTTAGTTGCAAAGATTAACTGCAAGTTTTACCAGCTATTACTGTAATTGCATTTCAGAATATTGCAAACCAGTTTTTAAAATCATGAGGCAACTGTAGAAGAGCAAATAAACTGCCTGCATCTGAAACCTTCTAATACACACATACTTCTGCTCTTTCAGTCACAAAATCAAAGTGCCCCTCTTACGTTGGGATAACAGGAATCATTCTACAGGAATTTAAACATGTCTTCAAAATTATCACTAAAGAGGACAAATTAAAAGGTATAAGACAGTTTTTTTTCAGTGCTTTTCACAATTTGAATAATCAGAAATTTCCTAAACACACTATTCATCTTACATGTGCGAGTACGTTGTTTTATATCAGTGCTTTTAGTTCTTTGCACAGAGTGGCAGAAGTCAATGTCTTTACTGACCATGTAACAGCCCAATATCTTGCTGAAAAAGTGTCTCATTAGAAATGAGCAATTAAAAAAATGCATTTCCAATGAACCCAACATGATTATGCGCATGGCTCATTCATCTGATTCACATTAGATGTTCTCTGGAACACTTACTGCATGCTCCTGAAAGAGGACTAACTGTAGTAATTCAAGTTTAAAATTTTAAAGTTTTGGTTATTTTTTTTCTCTTGCTAAAGCGTAAAAACCTTGAAGTGTAGCAAACCTCAAGTCTACATGTGAATAATATGCCCTGGTACATCAGTATCTTTTCATAACTTTTGTTCGTTTCTTTCCTCTTGCATTTTCAGTTGTTCCCAAACTTAACAATGTATTTAGCTTGGAGATTGATGGATTCATTTCCTACATCTATGGAAGCAAGTTCCAGCTTAGAGCAAGTGAGCGATCTGCAAAGAAGTTCAAGTTGAAAGGAACTATTGACCTATGATTTCATGGAAAATCAGAAGTATTAATAGAAGTGTCTGCTGTTTTCCTGCAGTTTCAAGACCAGGTTTGCTGGCAGATTAAATAGCCATATGAAATCTTTGCTAAAGCGTTTCTTCTCACTGAAGAATTACTAGTATCTGTTGTCTTTTAAGCAGTCTCTCAGACTGCTGCAGTTTGTTGTATCTGTTTGTTTTGTTATTTGTATATAACATTCTGGCTTTTATTAAACTTACATGATTAGTATTGATTACCTGACTTGTTTCAATTTATAATCATGAATTTGCACAATGAAAATTATATCATGTAACTGTGATGAATGTTATTGTTGCCTTCTGTATACATTGGGCTCCATCTGCCTATTATAAGCTTATAGGTGATGACAACTGCTCTATAGAAGAGCAGTTCATTGTTCCTGGGCCAACATCAACATCTTTGCCTGGTGCAAGTATATGCAAGTCAGTTGAAACAACTGATAGGTTCTACCTTGAATATCTCCTTCCCTGTAGTTAATATCGTTACAGATAACATGTATATGAGTGAAAATATAAATACTAAACAGGTAACGCAGCCCTGCAAGCTGTTTGCTTATCAGGTGCTTACTGATAACATACTACTTTAAGGTTAAATCAGATACGTCTATATTAGTAAATACATACTGTCAATGCCAGAGTGCAGGGAACACATCACGTAAGAGAGAAGCACTTGAAGCTAGAAATTCAAAGATGGAAGTGACCCCCATTCAACCTTGTACTTCAATTACCTACAAAATTGCTTTATGAATATTTAACCTGTATTCATAGAGCTTTACTCTAGCCTATTTTTATATATATTTGTTACACATTTAAAAAAATACCTTTACTCTTAATGTTACATAAGCAATTTTTAAAAAGGCTAGCATGGATGGCACTTATTACATCACTTGGTTGTGAGCACTATGTCACTGGAACACAAGAAGTCGGGTAGTTTTGTAACGCAAGTCTTCTAAACTTACAACCACCCTTAATACAGCACCACTTGTGCAGAAGCTTCCAGTATTTAAACCTTTTATAAATATTTGCTTTTTGCAGCAGTCTGCAACAGTGGTTGTAATGGAGACCCCATACTTGCACCAGTGGAGACTTCTTCAGCTTTGAGTGCATGTGCTTCATGTATCCACAGTCCCTTTTTATCTCCTTTTTTCAATTTTTTTTTTGTTTTACTATATACTTCCAGGATACTTTTTTGACTGCCCAGATTACAATCTCATCAACTAGGCACATTTGACTTGTTTGGGAGATGGAAGTGACCCCTGTATTTAGATCACTTAACATTTTTCTATTATAAAAGAGCCTCTATGGTGTTTATGTTATAAAGGTAGCTTTCAGAAGCTTTCAATTTAAATTATTAATTCAATTTCAGAATCAAATGAAAGACCCATATGTAGGAAGAGGAGGTTTTTCCCCTGCCACCATTCAAATGTTCATAGCCAGCCAGGGTCATTTCTTTAAAGAGAACATAGCTGTTCTCTCACATACACTACACACCAAAGCCTAGTACTGGGGTTAGGAGGGCAGCTCCAGCTAGAGCTCTTAACTGCACTGCAGAGCACACAAGCCATTTATCTGCCATGAGAAAGCCAAAGAGCATCACCACCTCCAACCCTCCCCAGCCCGATGAAAACACTGACTGTGCCAGTCACCCTCAGTCAGTTGGCCTCCAAAGCACCTACTTCCTTTCTGGACCTGTTGCTGGGAGAGGTTATGGGAGAGCTGCATCTCTCTGGCACAATCCCTCAAGACCAGATTCAGCTTCGCTGAACCAGACTCTGAAATTGCAGCATGGGCAATACTGGTTTTCAAGAACAGACTGCTTCTCTGCCCCTTTGAAGACAGAGATGGGAAAAACAGTGTTTTTGCTAGGTACATATATTTTATACAGGGAAATCATAGAATCATTTATGTTGGAAAAGACCTTTAAGGTCATCGAGTCCA